CCATATATACTGTCAAAGGATTGTTTATCTTGGATATCCTTGAAGAAGCAAATAGAAATAAAATGAAATGGTGAAATCATTATTGCAATCTCAACCAGTTACTGAAAGTATGAAAATATGTACTGCACTGCATGCCTTTCCATGAGAAGATGCTACTCTCTTTTCTGGTTAGGCATCCTTAAGTGAAGATGGTATCTTGACTTGTTAGGGCATGGATGGTGATGGAAATCCTGTATGGTGAACTGATGATTAAACTATTGCAGTGAGATATGATTTTTATTTGATATATATGTACTTTCCTTGTTATAAATGTCCACTTCTTTTTATTTATTTTTATCTTGTATAACTTTATATATACTTTGTTTAAGATCTTAACCAGTTCTTGTCAGATGACAAATACCATCCAGAAGAGGTTTAAAGTGTCTTCAACCCAGCTCTTGTATCAATCTTGTCCCTATCAAGCAATGACCTTGTTCATATCTGGTCCATTTCTAGATGGGCTTTTAACTAATCAAAATGTTTTTGCTTTCAAGTATACACCCCAAGTGCTGGTGAGCACTGAACAATTCTTGGTGACATCTTCTGTTAACTTTGCTCAAAATTCTTTAGTTATATCTTATATTATTTTGGTTGCAGGTGTTTATAGTTCTGTCCTGCCTCATCTCTGTCTCTGTTAACTTTAGTACATTTCTTGTAATTGGGAAGACGTCTGCTGTCACATATCAGGTCCTGGGGCACCTAAAAACGTGCTTAGTTTTGGCTTTTGGTTATGTTTTACTTTACAACCCATTTAGCTGGCGGAATATATTTGGAATCCTGATTGCTCTAGTTGGTATGATACTTTATTCATACTTCTGCTCTCATGAGAGTCAGCAAAAAGCTAGTGAAGCATCGACACAACTGTCCCAGGTACCGCTTACTCTTGCTTATTCCATTGCAATTGTAGATAACTTCGGAGTGTTTGAATCAAGTTTTGGCCCAAGCAACCAAACATGTATTACATTACTAATGATTAAGTAATGACCAATTGCATAGTTACATGTTAATCAGACTTTATCATCAAGAGCTATTGTTACAGGTTGCAGATGCAGGATAGTGCAATCTCTAATCATATCATAGACCTAGGTTCAACTCTCCATAATGTGAATTTAAACGTGATTCATGTTTATTTGCAGGAAAAATCTATGCTGCCGGAAAGACATATAACAAAGGGCCTTGACCAATAAAACCCCTGTGGATATGATTAAAAAAAAGGGAAATTTAGAGTGTAGTCCATCTCAGAGATTTTTATTAGGTTTCTGGGTTTTATTTACCAACACTTCCACCTATGATTCACTACCCCCCTTGAATTTTGATTCATTCCTCCACCTGTTACTGTTCCAACTATACAAATTGTACTAAAGTTTATGGGGTGTACTGAACAATAAAAACCCATAAAAAAACTCCTGATTGGTTCTCACTTTCATGATACTGGTTGATTGGTTACAAGTTTTTCTAGTATCATGTCTTTCCAGTATTGTAGTCGAATCCTTATTTTCACATCCTGCCAATAAGATATGTCCTCACATGGTCCAATTACTAAATTTTTAATTTTCTTGTTTTATGTGTGTTTGTCAGAGTTACAGAGGTTCTTTTCTTTTCTTTCTTTATTTTGGCTTAGATATGCCATCAGAATCTGAGTCTGATCCTGCCCTATTAGCAAAACAGTCTTTGATTTGTTTACAATATTTCCACAGTACTTTCATCATCATCATCATCCAAGCCTTATCCAACTATATGGGGTTGGCTACATGAATCCTGTTTCACCAATCCATTCTGTTTATGCTATATCCATTGTCAAATTATTGATGCTTAAATCATTTCTTACTACTTCCTATGTTGGTCTACTCCTTGCCCTTCCTATGTTGGTACTTGTAAGTTGATGGCTTTCTATGCACATTACTAAACCATCCTAGTCTAGTTTGTCTCATTTTATCACCTATTGGAGCCATTCCTAAGTTCCTATGAATAACTTCATTTCTGATCCTATTTCTTGTTTTTCCACTCATCCATTTCAGCATGTGCGTTTCTGCCACACTCATTTTCTAGATATGTTGTTTCTTGACTGCCCAATACTCTGCTCCATACAACATAGCTGACCTTACAACTGTTTTATAGAATTTTCCTTTTAATCTAAGTGGTATTCGCCAAACACATAAAACTCCAGATGCACCTCTCCGTTTTGCCCATCTTGCTCTATTTCTATGAGTGGCATCCTCCTCGATCTCTCCCTTGTTATGAATTATCATAATCTTAATAATTTTTTGGTAATAAATAAAAAAGGCATTTTGTTGAAAAAGAAAAAGAGCTACAAAGGAGGTGATAAGATATCTATCAACTACCCCACAGCTTGCTTCCAGAGTCCACACCCTTCAATAAACTAAAAGGACTTCCAAACCCAACCAAAGCACAGCCCTAAAGCAAACCCTCAACCACTCACCGATCCGAAATAGGACTTTCGTCATTCATCGGGTACTTCAGCTCCAACTCCTGAAACAATCTTCTTGTATTATCTATATAATGTGTCTTGTAAAAATCTTCTTGTATTCTCCTTCATCTACTTTTTCTGAATCATCCTCTTCCCCCACCAACACCAAGGCCCCTTCCCCTGCCTACGGGGTTAACTCCCTTTTTACAACAAACTGGAAAAGGGTTGACAGATCCTCCCTAACAGCTTCTCTATTCAAACAAGTTTGTCTTTCAGCCTTTTCCTCCAGTACACTCTCTTGAATTTACTACTTGGTCCTGCATTTAAATGGCGATTGAAAATTGAAACCTTACCTTTATGTTTATATCATTGTCATCATTATCATCATCCAAGCCTTATCCCAATTATATGGGGTTGGCTAATCTGCATTTTCTTTATTTATTTATGATAAACAAAAAGGGATAATGTTAAACACTATATGTATAAAATATGTATGAAAAATGGGATTAATGGCCCCAAATGGGCTTTGCACTATGCCACACTCTACACCTAAAACAGCCATTCATTTGAACACAAAATCTCTTAGGTAATGAAGCCTTTCAAGCAAAGGTCCAATACATCAAAGAGCCACAAACAACCATACAAATTTGAAGGTCTTTCCATGTCTTAAAAGTATTTCTCTAATCTTTATAAATAGTAAAAGGAACCCATGGTTCAAAGTTTTGATTTTCTTTAGCATTGCCATGTTTAAATGTGGAAATCTGGGGGAAATTTTGTAAACTTCACTCAGAAATTTGGAAACTTGAGGAAGTTAAGAAAAGATAGAATAATATTAGAAAATACTAAATTTATTTATGAAACTTTAAAAAACGTTAAACAAGGTATACAACATATTTTAGACTTAAATAGGCATAGATGGGAAAAATATGATCCTCTTATCATGTAAGGTGAGTGTCCTTAGAACTAAATATAATCCTTATATTCGGACTCCTTTCTGATGATTTTCTTTCTAATAATCTCTATTTTGAATGGTGCAGCCAGAGCATTAGATAAAAATATTAACTATTACTATGGTTATTATACTGTTCTATAATTATTCTTAAATTAATTAGTTATTATTTTCAAAAAAGCTATTCTTAAATTAATTATTTTACTAAAATTTTGAAAGCATATAATCCTAATTTACCATATACCACCCATGCCTTGAGGCTTTAGTGCTTTACCCAAAAAAAAACCCCATGCTTTAAGGACAATTTTGCTTTTGTGAAGAAGCAATTAGCTAGTAGGCTAATGTTGTGTCCTAAACCCAATCCGAGGCATTGTCATCTATATAAGTAGGCAGCTTTGGCGGATATCCTATCCTTTAAACTTCATATTATGTTGGATCTATCTTCTCTGCTTCAACTCAACTATGCAGCTGCTAATAGTAAATTTATGATTCCCATTCTGTGTGGTTAATTTTAGTCTTTGTTCCAGCTTTCAATTAATCACTTTATATCCTGAATGCTTCCAGGCAAAGGAAAGTGAATCTGATCCGTTAATAAGCATGGAAAATGGAACGGGGATTGTTGGTGATAGTAGCATAACAAAAGTTCCAGTATGGAACTCAAACAAAGACTTGCATGCATAAAAGACTTCTATCAGAAGTTAATTCATACAGCCGGAGTAAATTAACATTGGAGGTGGTCCAGCGAAGCGATGAAGATGTTGGAAACATGGGTAATCTCCTTTGATTGCATCCAGAGATGATACAGGTGTGGGCTTCTTGAGATCAGAAGGAACTCCCTCTATTATAATAGTTAGCAGAATTGAAAGGAAAGCATTTATGTTTAGAAGTTTTGACCATTGTCATTGTATGAATTAGGCTTGCAAACATTCAATTCTCCAGAATGGGATGCTTGTTTTAATGCCCATTGGGTACTATTGTTTCTTAATATGCTGAGAAGGTTTTATTTTTGCTCTAAGCAGTTCTCTCTTGATGAAGGGGTGGTTATTTTACGTTTTGTTTGGTACTTCGAAAACGTTAAGTACGAGTCCTCAGAGCAATTAAATTCGGTTTCTGATTGAATGTACACTAGATACCTCCCTCCCTCTCTCTCTCTCTCTCTCTCTTCAATTGTGACAACTGCATTACATTTGCAAATTAAGAGTTGCGGAGGGATGTAAATACTTTGTATTCATCTACGTATTAGAATCGATTGCGAAAAAAAAAATGTATTACGGCCATCCTCAAAACATGGAGAATTCTTGAAATGGTAAGTCTCATTTGATATATTATTCAAAGAAACTGTCAGTGGTCAGTTGAGCAAGTTGGCTTCCAAATCGTTCTGGCTTGCTTCTGCAGTTTGGGTTATGTCCCTGGCTCTCTTAGCTTGGTATTTCCAGTCGGTGTGAAGTAATGTATACATCATCATAGACACGCATGAAGCCTGAGCCGCAACAAGACCGAACCACAACCCTAAAAAGCCTATCTTCAACCAAAAGCCCATGAAAAACGCTACCGGTAATCCAATTAGGTAAAAGGAACCGAAGTTAATGTTGGCTCCTACTTTAAACATTGCAGACCCTGTCAAGACCCCAGAGGCGGCTGTCTGGGGACAGTTACCGAGCTCACAAAATCCCAAGATAGGAAGCGCGGAGGACGTGAGTGCCAGGATCTGTAGCTCACTTGTATACATCTTTCCCCACACGTATCTTACAGCAAAAGTGAAAGTAAAGGCTAAAATCCCACATGCCACAGCTACAATTAGTCCAATAATAGCCGCCCATCGGGCCCTGGTTGGACGGTTAGCCCCCAACTCATGTCCCACACGAGTTGACAAGCCCAAACTCAACGAGTAAGGGAAGACATAGATTAAGCCCGTTGTCTGAATAAGGATGCCCATCGCAGCCACGGTAGCCTGTGGATTGCTTAAGAGCCCGCATAGAAGAAGCATTATCTCATACCACCACCACTCCAAGCACACTGATAATATACTGGGCACTGCCAGAGTAAGTAGTGGCCACCAACCTCTAAAGCATGAGAGAAGTGATCCATCCCAAGGCTTTAGTGCTTTTTTGGACAGAACCAAATAAATTAGTAAGCCCAGGTTCAAGTTCAGGGAGTTCCAGGCTGTGGCCAAGGCAACACCCCTCACTCCCAAATTTAAATGTTTCACAAGGAAGTAATTTATGGGAAGGTGGAGAAGCATTGAACCAGTAGCAGTTAAAGTTAAAGGTTTAGTTAAGCCTTGGGTCCTTAAAAAGATCCTTAGAGGGTGGAGGTGGGCTTGGGCTAGCAGGTCAGGAAGAGAGAAAGTGATGTAGACCTTGGCCACTAATGTAATCATGGGGTCTTGACCTAACCATAGTAGTATGGGTTCCATGTACAACCAGAGTAATGATATGGGTATTGTTGCGAGTAACAGTAGGCACACAGACCTTTTGTAAGTTTTGCTGAGAACAGTCCATCGCTTTGCTCCATACGCTTGGCAACAAATTGGTTCCATCCCCATGGCTAGTCCCTTCATGATTGAATAGCCTGTGATGTTTGCAAACCCAATAGCAAGTGATCCACCAGCTAACTCAACGTCCCCTAGATTGCCTAGGAATAACATGGAGATGATCGACCTAAAGTACAAGAGCAGGCTCGTCAATACTATGGGGCCTGCAATCTTACCCAGTAACCTTAGCTCCTCTGCCGCCTGCAATGCATCCATACAAAACTTAAGTTTCACATCTATATGCACGCGCACACGCACACACACATGAGTTCACATCTGCGCCCCATGAGGGGGTGCCCCACAATGCCTCACAGCACATCCCCACCTTGTATTGGGAACATCTCCCAGTGATGTCTCATCATCTCCTGTACTTGTTATCGGGAGATGTTCCCGATACAAGATGGGGATGTGCTGTGGGGCATTGTGGGGCGCAGATGTGAATTCCACACACACACACACCATGCCGTGGGATTGAACTGTGGAGTTCAGTCCACCTCAGAAACTTTTATTAGTTTTTCAATTTTATTTAACCATACCTCCACCTATGATTCACTATCCCCCCTCCCCTGTGCGTGTGTGAATTTTGATTCATTCAACTTATTACTGTTCCAATTGTACAAACTGTACCAAAGTTTATGGAGCGGGCTGACCAGCCTTTTAATTATTGGGATAAGTGGACTATAATCCATCTCAGAAATCTGAATTGCAGCCCCCTCCTAGTCTATTAGTATCTCTCCCTCCCCCTCTTATAAACCGTATCCTGCCCGTGAATTTAACATCAACCCATGGGCAGGATTTAATCCTGCCCCTAAAAATCTTAGCTCCACCCTAGGGGTGGACTAAAATAAATTCCGGATATGAGATGTATAATTTGGGCAATTGAAGCTTGGACAAAGTCAACAACTGTTATTAGATGTCTTAGGTTTGGCAGCGTATATTGTGCTGGCGTTGAACATTAGGCCCAGATCAAAGATAAAACATAAAGATGCCGCATAAGCCCAAACCATGGAAGGCCCAGAAGGAGCCCGACCTATCGTTCATAGTGAGAGAACCCGGTCAGGGTCAGTTACCTGAAAAGTGAAAACGCCTGGTAGGCTGAACCCAAGTATTTGATTATGCCAACTAACATCATCAGTCATGTATATTTAGATTCGATTAAAATCCAAAACAGATGTGAGCAACATATAAGATATGTTATCATGGTTTTATATTTCAAATAGTATTATAATGGCCAAAGGATTGGAAAAGCAAGATTTCAATTATTTGGGTGATATAAAATATAATAATCTTTTTATTTCCAAACTATCATTTTCTTCCGAAAAAATCATTGAAATTTGAAACCATGAGCATGTCAAAAAGCAATTAAGGCAGTGACACTATTCTTTTCCTTTGTTTTTCTTTCTTATCGCATAAGATTCAAATTTAGTTAATACGATTTTGATAGTTTAACCATTGGTTAGATCATTAATTCATCATCCTGTAAAAAACTGGACTGCGTAATGTGTTCACTGTTCACTAGTTTACCCGCTGGATCCAATTCGAGTCTCACAGCACTGGTAAGTGGTATCTAATCTAAGGAAAAATAAATTCTTTTGCAATTAATATTATAAAAAAAAGATGCCGTATAAGGGAATTTTTTGAAAATAAGTAAAAAATGGGACAAGGGTTGCACCTTAAGGCCCTGTTTGGTGCGCCTTTTTGTATGGTTTTTCAATTGTTTACAAGTCGGGCAGATTGTGCTGCGGTCTTTTTCTGTTTGATTTATAACAGATTTAACCATCAAAAGTCTTTGTCTATGCACCAAAAAGAAACGGAAACATTGGAAGCTAAAAATGGAGCTTTTTGTGTCTCTAACTTTATTCTCATGCAAAAAGGCACGAAAAGACGCATGATAATCAAACTAGTTTCAAAAAGATATGCCAAACAACTCCTAAATTTACAGACGAAAATGCTAATAATTAAACAAACAGTTTTTTCTAAACTTTTGATAAGGTGGGACCCAAGCCAAAGAACACATGTCAAATTTTAATGTGGTAGTGTATCTTGGGTGTCCTACGTTCCTACATTCCTACATTCCTAGTCCTACTACGTCACTTAATTAATTCCATGCTTAGGCGCAAGGGTTCACAATCACATTCATTCCAACTTCCGAGGGGAGGACATTGGAATAAAACCAGGAATAACTCCGAAGGAAAAACACATTTGGTTTCTGACTTTCTGAGTTGTGACATAGTGGCAATATAATTGACGGCAGTTGGCTGACGTAAGAGTAATTGACGGTGCCGATCCATCCACGTAGAGTTGGGTGACACGCACCAATCAGAATTCAGAACAACCAAAACATTACTCGATCGAGTGAGTTAAGATCTATTAAAAAACTTTCAACCTGTATGCCCATTGGCCATTGCGCAAGGGAAAGTCTCCAAGCTTTCTTATCCAAAAACTAAAATCTATTAATAAAAAAAGGCTCCACCTTGGTCAGACAGGCCAGCAACGCCTACACTTTTATAGGCGCATACTCTTCCCCGGCCGGAAAAGAGCCAAGCTCCCGGCTCCCTGGGGGAGGAGCCGAGAGAGAGAGAGAGAGAGAGAGATCCCTCTGTGTACGTTTAAGCAAACGGAAACAGTTATCTTTTTCTTTCTTTTCTTGGTTAAGCATGCAATAAACGATGCATGAGAGGACGGAGTTGATTTGTTACAGAATCTGCTGGAAAGCTTTCAACCACAGATCTCCCTGTAGGGAAGGAAACTAGCATAAAAAGAGTAAACTCCAGTCACCGGTTACCACCAGTTCACGCCCGCCTCCTGGCGCCTATCATATTAGCGCTAGCGTAATAGTGTGCAAGCTGCTAGCAAATTAAGGAGTTCAAATCTCCGCCCCACAGCATATCTCTCTCATGTATTAAGAATCGGGAGTGATATTATCATGGGGAGATGTTCCCAATACATGACAGGGATGTATTGTGGGGATGGAGATGTAAACTCCAAATTTAAGGGAGCAGTACTCGTTAATGGATGGCATGAGGGGAGTGCTGCACGTCTACGTACACTGCCTCATAACATTAGCAGTATCCAATTCTCCATTGCCGCTCCCCCGGCCTGCTGGTTAGTGGTGACACTGACAGTGACGGAGACCGACTGGTGGGAGTGGAGAGCACACTTCCTTTTGGCTTGCATTGTTGAGATTTCATCATAAGCAATAACTACGTACAGATAATAATCTACTACTTGTAATTAGGGCGTAATAATTTGGATAAATTAGCCTAATAGTAATAGGTTACCTTTAATTTGTTATACAATTATTAGCACGATTCGGACCAGGCTCTAGCTATGAGTTATGACCAACACAGTTTGTTTAAAATTAAAGGGTTTACTTTCAAGGAAAACATATATACATCATACATGTGGTTGCCATATCCGAATCCGAATATATATGCTCAGCTATATTATAAATATTAAAAAGAGTAACTACACAAACACAGTATAGTACTCTTGCCTCCCTCACGGATAGACTACGTGCATAGGAACATTGTGGTGGTCGGTGCATGGGTTGGACTAATTAGGGCTAGGCTCACTTTCATTAATACTTTTAAACTGACCTCTTGAAAACTGCCAATTTATTACCTATTCTTAACAGTCCGTCAGTTATCTGCATTATACGATTTTCTTCTCCGGTGACAATAAACATAGTTTTGAAAATCGGATTGGACCAGATACTTACATTGCTTGACTCGAGAGCTTATCATGGCTCTGGATTCGATTTTGGACCCTAAAATTGTTTGACCAAGGTTCGGATTGGACCAAATAGTCAGACTGGTTGACTTGAGAATCGAGAATTAGTCATGGTCAAATCATTTGGCCTACAAATTAATGGTTAAAGTGGTTTTATTTTTGGGTCAATTTTTAAAACCATGGCAACAATAATTACTTGTCTTTGTTGGCAAGTGGCAACTATTGGATTTTAATCTCATAAGACATTAAATCCAATGGGTTTGATTGGTCAATTATATGAGAAATTGCACCTGCACACTTGTTTGAAAAATTAAATTTTCTCTTACAAAACCCAATTTTGAATTTGTCCCGCATTAGAAAATTATAAGCTTTGTTTTCAGTATTTTAATAGAAGTTGATTTATACTCTTTAGAAATAGTAGAGGAGAGTATGGGGGTTTGACATTGTGCAACGCGTGTGCGGCGCAATGAGGCGCTTTAGAGTTACACTTCGCTTGCACCCGCGTGGCTCGCGAAGGGCGGCTTTGGTTTTGGTGCAATGCTGACTATTGATCACCGTTGATGTGATCAACAATCACCATTCGATCGGATGTGATCAAGAGACAGTGTTCAAGGTGTCTTCTCTGAACTAGACACCTACCTTTTCTTCATACCTCTTCATAAACTATTTAAGGAGCATGAACCAGACTTAAAAAACACACATTTTCGAAATACACTTTCTCTCTCTCTCTCTCTCAGTCCGGTCTACTACAGTCTCACAGAAGGTTTCTTCGGATATTCTTCAACTTTGCTGGTTGTAGATTCTTGCCCAAGGCTTTGTTGTATTTTGGGAACGGATTTGCCTGTAACCCAATAGCAAACTTAGTGAAATTGAGTGGGGGCAAATAACGTTCTAAAGACAGTATCTTCAGACACGCCTCGGATCTTCTCCTCCAAAATTACAGTGAGAACCTCTCTTTGTTATGGATTGAATAATTGAAAAAAAAATGATTATAATTTATAATTATGGCTGTCTAAATCCCTCTTCTCTGGTAATGTCGTCTTCTCTAGCAACATTTTTCCGTATAGCTTCTTTGACCGGAACCACTGGTTCTTTGGCAGGGAATATAGTGAAGAGTGGTGCCTTATCACATTGTAAAGGAACATGATTATTTTGGCCATTTCAAAATTATGCTTCACTAACCTATTCACAATTTAAAAGGTATTTATATCACTTCACATGTCATCTAATGTTGCCAATGATGATTTTTGACTAACTTAGTAGTTTTTAAGAGTTCAGACTTAGAGTACAGAATAATAATGTGCAATTTACCCTATTAATTTTTTAGATAACAATGATGAAATCAATTATAAAATATTTGGAAGAATCGGAACCTCAAAAGCAATAGCCCTTTTTCAATACTCAGCCCGACGTGTGGGGTCCTCCTAGCTACTCCTATTACTTATATTAGTCTAGGGGTGGCAAATGGGTGGATTGGGTAAGGG